ACAAAAAAAAAACCCTGCTAGTCTGTTTTCCAAAGTGGTTAATATCTTTGCATTCTCACCAGCAGTGCCCTGGTTTCTCCACATCCTCCCAGCACTTGGCATTGTCTGTTTTGTAGTTGTTTGGTTTGTCTTATTTTGTCTTAGCCATTCTAACAGGCAGCGGTGGTATCTCAGTGTGCTTTTAATTTGCATTTTCTCAGTGCCCAATGATTTGAGCATGTTTTTATGCGCCTGTTTGCCGTCCTTATGTCATCTGGGGTGCTGTGTCTATTCAGATCTTTGTCTTTTTTAAATTGAGGTTTCTTACAGTTACCTTTTAAGAATGTTAAAAAAAAGTTCTAATTGCAAGTACTTTCTGTAAATACTTTGTCCAGTCTATGGGTTTTAATTTTAGCACTCTCTCAGAGCTAAAGTTTTAAATTATTATGAAATAAAATCTGTCAGTTTTTTAAAATTGGGGTGGGCATCTTGGTGTTATATCTAAGGCATCTTTGCCTTTCCCAGTGTTGCAAAGATGGTCTCCTAGAAATTTTTTGTTTCTACATTTCAGAACAGAGGTCAGCTACCTTTTTTGTCAAGAGCCAGATGGTACATAATATTTTTGGTTATGTGGGCAATACGGTTGTTACTGCTCAGCTCTGTCATTGTTGCACAAGACCAGCCAATATGTAAACAACTGAGAGTAGCTGTTTTCCAATAAAACTTTATTTGTAAAAGCAGGCAGTGGACCAGACTTGTGGCTCAGGCCATGGTGTGCAGACCTCTGTTCTAGGGGTCCACTTTTACCCAGCATAGAGGCTCCTCCCATTCTGGACAGTAAAAACAGGGTGATTGTTCACTCATCACTTCCGGGGTGGAAGAGTAGATGCTTGACCTTAGAGAAAGGTCTTAGCGTGAAGAAAGGTAGAGATAAAGAAAAAAGGGAAGAAGAAATATGTGAACTTGAGCAAACTTCAGTGTGCATTTTGAATTTTTCAGAGTTAAACCTCTTATACTCTGAATCAGGCATCAGTGAATGTTTTTGTTTGTTTTTGAGCTGATGATCTATTTTAAAATCTCATGCCACAGTCGGTTTAGCAGATTCTCAAGAGTTTTTTGGGATCAAACTCTTTAGCACTTTCTGCTGAAAACTGACACTTAGCCTTCCCCCATTAATGTGCATTTAGAGGGTGTCTGGGCTTGTGCTTTTTTAGCCGTGGGGCAGTGTGTTCCCTGTACATATTTACCTGCAAATGTGTGATTGGTAGAACGGATTTCTATAGTTGTAGTCACTGGGTAGGTACTGCCAACCTGTCCTCAGAAATGTTGTACTTCTCACACTCCTGTCAGTGGTGTGTGAGAGGGTTCTCTCCTTCTCCCCATGCTGAATTTTATTCCATCTGACTGACTGGCAAAAGTAACATTTTATTTTGCATCTTCCACATTGCTTGTGAAAGTGAGCTTCTGTTGTGTGTTTATTGGCCATTTGAATTGCTGGCATCTGTGTCGTATTATCTCATGAGTTACTCTGAATCGAGTTTTCTGAGCCTCAGCAGCACTGATATTGTGGGGCTGGGTAATCCTGGTCACGGGGGCCGTCCTCTGCCTGAAGAGTATCTCTATCTAGTTTTTTTTATACTCTTTTTTTATAAAATATTTATTTGAAAGGCAGAGTTAGAGAGAGAGCGAGAGAACAAGAAAGACATAGAGAGATCTCCCATCTGCTTTTTCACTCCTCCAATGGCTGCAACAGCTGGGACTGGGTCAGGGCCAGGCAAAAGCCAGGAGCTGCGAACTTCTTCCAAGTAGGTACAGGTGCCCAAGGTATTGGGCCATCCTCCATTGGTTTCCCAGGTGCATTAGCAAGGAGCTGGATCGAAAGTGGAGTAGCCAGTACTTGAACCAGTGCCCATATTGGATGCTGACACTACAGGCATCCTTTACCTGCTGCTGCTACACAGTGCCGGCCCCCTGCAGAATATTTAACCGGATCGCCAGCCTCTACCTACCAGGAGCCAACAGCGCATCACCAGCCACGATATCCAAAAATGTCTCTAGACATTGCCCAGTGTCTCCTGGGGGAGCAGAACCGACCAGTGTGGGAACCATTGATCTAAATATTAAAACACAGAGCAAACGTTTTCTCCCAGTCTCTTGCTGCTTGTTTTCATTTATGATGCCTTTTGCCACACAGAAGTTTCTAATTTTGTGGAGTCTGACTTTCTAGTCTTCTGTGGCTTTCAGTGCTAATCTGCTTTATAAAGAGTCGGGCACATAGAACATCCTCAAATAAGTAACAAATGCTGGGAAATTGTACTCATTTTGCAAGTGGTATGAGAGTAGGAGGGTAGGAAGGACCTGAATGTTTTCACCAGGAAAAAAGAAACCAGACCTCATTCTTCTCTCAGCATTGACTTGGGGTAGGTGGGAAATCTTTGTGCAAGAAGTGTTCACCTATTTATGTGTCTGTTGGCAAGAGTATTTAAAATTTTTAATTCAAGAAGCAGAGACAGAGAGATGAATAGAGAGAGCTCCCATCCACTGGTTCACTCCCCAAATGCCCACAATAGCCAGGACTGGGCCAGGCTGAACCCTAGAGCTGGGAACTCCAGCAAGTGGTGCAGGCTTAACTTCGTTTGCCATAATGCCTGTCCCAAAGCCATTTTTAAAGAGGGACAGAGCCCCATGACCATGGGCACTGGGTTTTCAAACATGATGCAGAACTGAGTGACAGAGATCTGGAGAAAGTGGTGGCTGCCTGCTCATGCCCCCAGGCCGGTAGGCACCTGCGTTTAGAGGCAGGGAGGGACATGGGACCACTTAGGTGAGGCTGCTGTATAGCAGTCTCTGTGAGCACATGAGGTGTGCTGTGGAGCTCTCTGCTGCATTGACGCAGGTCCATGGAGACTGGAGCCAGCTGTGAGGACCAGGCCCACAGCCAGGAGAGGGGCCCAAATTGTCCTGCTCACTTGCTGTGTCCTTGGGTACAGAGGACCTTTGCCTGCCCACCCAGTGACAGCCAAGGTCTCAGGCTTGGGGGTACAAAGAGCACCCATTCTCCAGCTGAATTGACGTGAAGGGCTTGTGTTACGGAGCAGGAGTTAATGGCAGGTTCCTTTGCAGCCCTCAGTGAGAATGGCTGAACTTAGAGTCATTCTGCTTGTCAGTAGATTTTATTTTTTAGAGTGGTTTTAGGTTTTCAGAAAAACTGTAAAGAAGCTATAGTGAGTTCCTACAGACCCCTCCCCTAACAAAAACACAATTCCCTCTATTATATCTTTGTGTGATGCATTTCTTTTAATTGATAAACTGATGTTGACATATGTTAGGGTTCACTCCTTGTGTTGTACCATCTGTGGGTTTTGACAAATGTGTAATGCCTTGCATCCACCATTAAAGTATCACAATATTTTTGCCGCCCTAAAAATGCCACATGTGCCTGTTGCTGGCAACCATTGATATCTGTCTATGGTTTTCCCGGAAGTTTATGTAGCTGGACTCATCCCTGTGTGTGACTTCCCAAACTGCTTTCTTCTGCTCAACAATATGCATTTAAAGTTCTTCTGTATTTTTTTTTTTTTAAGATTTATTTATTTACTTCAAAGGCAGAGTCACAGGGAGAGAGAGAAATCAGTCTTCCATCTGCTGGTTGGTTCACTCCTTAGATGGCTGTAACAGCCATGGCCAGGCCAAAGACAGGAGCCAGGAGCTTCATCCAGGTCTCCTACAAGGGTGCAGGGGGCCCAAGCACTTGGCCATCTTATGCTGCTTTCTCAAGGCATTAGCAGGGAGCTGGATTGGAAGAGGAGCAGCTGGGACTCAAACCTGGTATTCATGTGGGATGCTAGCGCCACAGGCAGCAGTTTAACCCACTGCACCATAGCACCGGTCCTTCTTCTGTATCCTTTTTATTATGGGATCAAACTTCATTTTATGGCTGTGCTATGCCAGGGTACTGTAGAGAAATGGAATGAAGTTTATTCTGATGTAAAAATATTCTGAAATCCATCATACATGAGGCCTTTTGATAAGCTCATGGAAAATGCATAATGTGAACTAGCTACATATGAATTTCAGTTGTTTATTTACCAAAATAAACTTAACCTTTCTTTTCCACGACTTTTTAAAGTACTGATGTACAAGTGGAGTTTATTTATTAGTCCGCCAACTGAAGGACACCTTGGTAGCTTCAAGCATTTGGCTCTGTGGATAACGCTGCCATAGACATGTGGCCTTAATTTAAACTTAGAGCTTCTGGGGTGGGAGTTTGGCCCAGTAGTTAAGATGCATATATGCAGTCGGCGCTTTGGTGTAGCAGGTAAAGCTGCCTGCAGTGCCGGCGTCCCATATGGGCACCAGTTTGAATCTCAGCTGCTCCACTTTCAATCCAGGTCTCTGCTGTGGCCTGGGAAAGCAGTAGAAGATGGGCCAAGTCCTTGGGCCCTTGTACCTGCATGGGGGACCTGGAAGAAATTCCTGGCTTCTGGCTTTGGATCAGTGCTACTCCAAGGGTTACGGACTTCTAGGGAGTAAACCAGCGGATGGAAGACCTTTCTTTCTCTGCCTCTGCCTCTGCCTCTTTGCAGCTCTGTCTTTCAAATAAATAAAAAAAAAATCTTTTCTTTTAAAAAAAAAAAAAAAAGATGCCCACATCCTGTATTGGAGTGCCTGGGTTCAAGTCCTCCAGTCCACTCCTAATTCCAGCTTCCTGCTAACGCACTTGTAGAACAATAGGTGATGGCTCAAGCACTTAGGTCCCTGCCACCCATGTGGGAGACCTGGATTGAGTTTGATGTGGCTCAGCCCTGGCTGTTGTGGGCATTTGAGAGTGAATCCATGGGTAGGAGTTCTGCCTCTCATTTTTATATATATATATATATATATATATATATATACACACACACACACACACACACACACACATAAAAAGAATTTTCCAAGTACAAATGTAGTCATTAGTTTTGCCTTCATATAGTACATTGTGAACATTTGGAATTTACTTCATTTTTTTTTCTTTGCAGATTTTTAAAAAATACAATGTCTAATGGTTATGAAGACCACATGGCTGAAGACTGCAGGGACGACATTGGGAGAACGAACCTAATTGTCAACTACCTCCCTCAGAACATGACCCAGGAGGAGCTGCGGAGTCTGTTCAGCAGCATTGGCGAGGTTGAATCTGCAAAGCTCATTCGGGATAAAGTAGCAGGTAAAGAACTCACCGTGCAGCGTGGTGGCTCTGTGGCAGTTCTTGGTGATGGCTGTGACGTTCCTATCTATGTCCAGCCCTGTTTTTCCACTGCCCTGATGTAAGATCAGACATATGTTCTCTAAAGAGGAAAAACCATTTGTGAGACAGAGCCCATGCATAATGTCAGGAAGAGAGGGGAAATGATGAGCCCCAGACATAGGGACCACTCTGAGAGCTGGAAGGGACCAGAGGACCACGGCCTGATCTGGCTTGGTTTGTACACGTTGGTTAAGTGCCATGTGTGCAAGAGATCCTGGTGATGGACCTGTGCCTGCCTGCTGAGGTCCCCATTCATGGTCAGGCCTATAGTGGGATGCTGAGTCCTCTGAGGGCACCCCTCATTACATTTGGGCCGCTGTGTTCACTGTCACACTGTCAGCTTGAACTTGAGGGCAAGAGCCCAGCAGCTGAAGGCCTTGCTCTTGTGGTCCCTGTAAGTGTGACTTCTGGGCCTCTGTCCCCATTTGCAGTGTGGGGTAGTGGGCCTTCCCTCATGATATGCCCACCTCCTGGTACCTTGAGACTGCACTTTGTGAGAGTCTGGCTCTCTGAAGAAACTATCAGAGGCTCCCAGCACTGCCCCCTCTTACCTGCCCGAGAGGAACATGGGAGGTACTGCTGCCTCTTCCTGTCCTTCTCTGGGAGTGTTGGCTGCCACGTTGGTGGTTGGGACTAATTCCCTATCCTGGAAACCAATTTGAAAAGTTTTCTTTCTTTTTTTTTTTTTTCTTTCTTAATATCTATTTATTTGGAAGTCAGAAAGAGATTGATCTTCTATCTGCTGGTTCACTCCTTAAATGGCTGCAACAGCCAGAGCTGGACCAGGCTGAAGCCAGGAGCTCAGAGCTCCTTCTGAGTTTCCCATGTGGTTGCAGGGGCCCAAGGACTTGGACCATCTTCTGCTTTCCCAAGCACATTAGCAGGGAACTAGATCAGAAGTGGAGCAGGCTGGTGCCGCGGCTCAATAGGCTAATCCTCTGCCTTGTGGCGCTGGCACACCAGGTTCTAGTACCGGTCAGGGCGCTGGATTTTGTCCCAGTTGCCCCTCTTCCAGGCCAGCTCTCTGCTGTGGCCCGGGAGGGCAGAGGAGGATGGCCCAAGTTCTTGGGCCCTGCACCCGCATGGGAGACCAGGAGAAGCACCTGGCTCCTGGCTTCGGATCAGCGCGGTGCGCCAGCTGCAGCACGCCGGCCACAGTGGCCATTGGAGGGTGAACCAATGGTAAAGGAAGACCTTTCTCTCTCTCTCTGTCTCTCTCTCACTGTCCACTTTGCCTGTCCAAAAAAAAAAAAAAAAAAAGTGGAGAAGTAGAGCAGCCAGGACTCAAAGCAGTGCCCATATGGGATGCTGGCATTGCAGGCTCTCTGTCACAGCGCAGGCCCCTCAGAGTTTTTAAAGAGAATAAAAAGGTTTTACTATGGAAAGTTTCACATTTGTGTAAACAAAGAGTAATAATTGAACCTGATGTACCCATCGTTCTACTCCATCAGCCTTCAGTGTTTTCCCAGTAAGGCAAAGACACTTGAACTTGGGATGGCTCCTATAGAGGCTTATGACTTATGGCTCCTATAGAGGCTATGGGGAATTAGTTATCAGCCAGGGTCTCTGAACCCAAAAGTCTTCTCCCATTCCAATTCAGAGAGCCTGTGACTTAACGTCTCCTGGAGAGGAACTGTAGATAATACACAGTTGACCAGTGTGAAAATGTTTCCTGTTCCAGGAAGTCATCCTGAATAAGAGAGTCCTGTTCAGAAGGGTATTAAAATTCCACTGTGCCATTGACGAGTCTCGCCTTTCTCTTCTTCCAAGCTGGTGGGAGGGAATTTTTAGCCCTGCTGTGAGGTTCCTGAGTGCTGGAGCCTGATTTCGCAAGCATTGCTAGCATTTTACCGTTTTGTCTGTTGGCTTCTTCTGGTTTTCAGAGTAATGTGAGCTGTACTAACAGAACACCTAGATTTAGTAGCATCCATCTGGAGAGACAGAGATTTTCCATTTGCTGGCTCACTCCCCAAATGGCCACAACAGCTAGGGCTGGTCCATGCTGAAGCCAGGAGCCTGGGACTCTAGCCAGATTGCCCATGTAGGTAGTAGGGCCCCAAGTACTTGCCATCTTCTGCTCTTCCAGGCATGGTAGCAGGGAGTGAGATTGAAAGTGAAGTAGCTGGTACTTGAACTGACACTCACAGGGGATGCTGGCATTGGAGGCCACAGCTTAACCTGCTGTGATGTAATACCAGCCCTGAGAGCTGATTTTGAGAACCCCGGAAGGAAACAGAAGTGGAGTTTGGAAGTCAGTTGCACCCAGAGACAAGCTTTCTCCTTTCTCAGTAATAGTGTGCCAGGAGTTTAGAGGAGGCATGTCTGGCCATGTCTCAGCTCAGAATTATGCTCATGGCTCTCTCCAAGGAGGGAAGGAGCTTTATGAAAAGACTTCCTGCAGCACCACTTTTGTCATCCTGTCTCCAACGTGTGGCAACTTCTCATTTGCTTCTCCTGGGTTGTAGCCTTACTTTCTGCCGCCTGTTCATTTTTGCTTCTCTCTCTCTCAAGATTATTAATTTGAAAGGCAGAGTGACAGTGAGAGGTCTTTCATCTGCTGGTTCATTCCCCAAATGGCCACAACAGTTAGGTCTGGGTCAGGCTAAAGCCAGGAGCCCTGAACTCCATACGGGCCCCCATGTGGGTGGCAGGGGTCCAAGTACTTGAGCCCGTGCCTGCTGCCTCCTAGGTGTGTTAGCAGGAAGCTGGATTGGAAACAGAGTAGCCAGGACTCAGGCCATTTGTCTTTTTATGACACTGCTGTAGCGAAACCCTTGCCTACTGTTGTTCTTGGCCAAACTTGGGCTGCATACCCTTCCTCCACCCAACCAGCGAGCAGCGTGTTGCATCGAGTCCTCAGCCCCACTCAGCTCACAGCCTGGGTGTAATGCCCCTGTAGTAGCTCTTCCCGTGTGGCCTCACCCTCAGCTGATGGCTGCCTCTGAGTTGTCTCTACTGTGGCCTTGTCCCTTCTGCCTGCCTGGCTTCCCAGGACCCGTGTGAGAACCCACTTTCCCTGGGTCTCCGCAGGGTTCCCCATTGATACTCAGACATGCTCCATCTCTGCTGGTTTTTAAGATTTATTTATTTGAAAAGCAGAGTTACAGAGAGGCAGAGAAAGAGAAGTCTTCCATCCTCTGGTTCACTCCCCAAATGGCCACAATAGCTGGAGCTGGGCTGATCCAGAGCCAGGAGCCTCTTCCAGGTTTCCCACATGGATACAGGGGCCCAAGGACTTGGGCCATCTTCTACTGCTTTTCCCAGGCCATAGAGCTGGAAGGGAAGTGGAGCAGCCGGGACTCAAACCGGCGTCCATTTGGGATGCGGGCACTGCAGGTGCGGCTTTCCTACCCCATCTCTGCTGTATTTAAAAGAACCCTTTCTACACTCCCTGACTTTGGCCCAGGGTTTCCCCACCACGGCCAGCGCCGCTGACATGCAGCCTGGACCATCCCTACTAGGAGCAGCATCCCCGAGTCCACCACTGCTTCCCAGCAGCACCTTCCCGAGCTTCCACAGCCCGTCCCCACACACTGCCACTGCCGGGGAGGCAGGATGGCCCCCTCCTGACAGCTCTGTTCTCTCTCTTTTTTTTTTTTTTTTTTTTAAGATTTTATTTATTTGAGAGGTAGAGTTTGAGAGAGAGGGAGAGACGGAGAGGGAGGTTTTTGTCCACTGGTTCACTCCCCAAATGGCTGCAATGGCTGGAGCTGCGCCAATCCAAAGCCAGGATCCAGGAGCTTCCTACAGGTCTCCCGTGCAGGTGCAGGGGCCCAAGGACTTGGGCCATCTTCTGCTGATTTCCCAGGCCATAGCAGAGAGCTGGATTGGAAGTGGAGCAGCCAGGACTTGAACCGGCACCCATATGAGATGCTGGTACTGCAGGCGGCAGCTGTACCTGCTATGCTACAGTGCCAGCCCCAGGAACTCTGTTCTCCCATTCTCTTCTCCTGGCTTTGTACACTGGGCTCTGTCCAGCTCCCCCTTTTCCCAGCCTATCACTTAGGCAGTCCTCAGGGTTAGTCCACGGCCCCATTCTCCCAAAGCCTGCCCTTGGAGTGAGTGAGGTCACCTTGTGTCTCACGTGCACCCTCAGTTGGCTGTCTCTCCTTTCAGCAGAGGCTCTCCAAACCCACACTCCAGTTCAGTGTGTTCCAGACAGACTTAACTCTCCTGCAAGCCAGCCATGTGTCCCAGTGTCCACATCCTGCAGATGGCACCGTTGCCCCTCAGTGGCTCTGCTCAGAAATCAGTAGTGCTCTTCTCCAGGGCGTTTCTTCTGCCCTTCGCTTCCTTCCCTCGCCCCGCCCACCACCGCCTTGTCCTGCATTCTTACCCTGGCCTCTGCAGTGGCTTCCTCCAGAGCGTTCTCTTCCAGCGCTCTCCTCTCAAACCCTCGGGCCCGGGTTGCATTCCGGGACCCCAGCCAGTCAGCCTTCATTGCGGGGCTTGTAGGTTCCATGGCAACCAGGAGACCTGCACCACAGGGTTGTGTGCCACACAGAGGTGGAACTTTGTTGTCCAGTCTGTTGGTATAGGTCACAGAGGCAGGGGCCTTAGTAATTGTGGCCCCAGACATAGCCGTGGTGTTTGCTCAGTGAGTGAATGCATGTTGCGGCAGTGACTGGTGCTGGCGACTGGGGGAGAGCACAGGTCAGCACGGACATTCATTCATTCAGCAAATATTGAGCGCCAACATTGAACTGGGCAGTGGTGTGTGCTGGTATCAGAGACTGATAAGAGTGCTTGGGGTGCCAGGCCTCAGCCCTGTGTCGAGGATAGGGTGCTTGTTCTTGCACAGGCACTAATTAGCCTAATGGGGCCGCTGCAGAGTCATCCATGCTGCCCGGTGCCTTCCTGTGCAGCCCTGCTTTGTTCACTGGTGTCTGGTCTCATGTGTGGCCCACAGGGGTCAGAAG